GTCACTCGTGTGTGTGGAAACTGAGAGAAGCACGCAGACATGACGGGAGCCGCGTCTCTCCATCGGGGGAGTGAGCACAGAAAAAAAAAACACATCAGGGGAGAAAAATACTCACGAGGCCGACCCCGAAGAGGCTGCCAGCGCGTGAAATGCACACGCGAAGCAAAAAAAGTCCTTAAAGAAGCGGCAGGGTGTGGCTGTGTGTGTGGCGCTGCGGGTGTCTGCCCGCCCTGGCCGCAAGAAAACAAAACAAGAGGGAAAGAAATGTGTGCTCCGCCCCACAGGCCCTCGTCGCACGCCCACACGTCACGGCTCCCTCAGCGCGCCGTTCGTCGCGGCCCCTCCTCATGCGTGCAGCAGGCGAGGCGCACAGGGCCGTCGTCATGAGCGTGTCGGTGGGTGTGCGAGTGGAGCAGTTGGGCGGGAAACACACGGCATCCCTCACAGGAAGAATGCAGCATGAAACAATTAAAAAGGGAATAGTAAAAAAGAAAAAACGTCCATAGTGATTGCCCTAAAAGAAAAAAAAGAAAAAAAAGAATTGTTCTTTGCGGAGAGTAATTCATTACCGGATGGTGTCGGTGTGGAAGAGGGCGCAATTGTCCCACACTGAGGCCGCACACTCCTCACGCAGTCGCAAAGCCCCACAGTCCCAGCAGCAGAAGCAGCGGCAGCAGCACCCTCCCGTACGCGGAACCAGCATCACCATTTGCCCCACCATCACCCGTTTCTTGTGCCGTCCCTTCATTCCCAGCAGAAGTCAAGCGTCCCGCTGGCGCATTTTGGGTATTGGCGGTTCTCCACGGTGCTGCTGGTACTTCCCGTGGGCCAGGCACCGCAGGTGCAGCAGGTGCGACAGGTTTGGGTGCAATTTTCACTTGTGGTTCTGGAGCTCTCGTCGGAACGGGGATCCTGTCCTTGATTGCTTTCATCTCAGTGGGATTCAGTGGGCGGTTGTACAGAAAGACGTTCGTCACCGTCACACGAGGCTTTTTGCCGATCTCCTTCGGATTGGCCTTCTCATCACCATCAATGTCGCACGCTCCAAAGCAAAACCCAAAAAGCTCAAGTGGTGTCTCACCTGTTAACGGCGTTTCTTCCTCCCCCAGCGATTTACCATCAATGTACACAGAGGCCTTGTTGCCTTGCAGCATGAGTGCCACTTGGTATTCTTTCCCCGCCTCCCAAGGCCTGCTTTCCGTTGTTGTTTTTTTACCGCCTTTGAACATCGTCTCCCACTTTTTATCCGCGGTGTACGACAGTCTCATAAAATACTCGGGCGCAGCGTCAACCAACACCGCAGTCAGGAGAGGAGTGTTCTCACTCGGAGCCTTTTCGATTGTCACCGACGCCACAAGTGTGAAGTTGTGGCTCAAGGATATATGACGCACATTACCATCCGGAATGTTCACAGGCCATACTGCCCTGGAGTTAGGCTCCGTCAACTGAAACCCATCCTCGACCTTCGTGGCATTCCTCACCGTTGCATTCAGGCAAAGGTACTCGTCGTTCCACGTGCCATCGCTGGCCGATGCGTTTGAAAAAACTGCCACCAGACCCGCCGTGGGTATAGAAAAGCTGGAGAAGAAGGCGTCCTTTTGCGCCCAAGTACTGAGGACGGACTCAATTTCCTTCAGTTCCTCCGTCAGGCGGGAAAGTGAAATGGCACTGGCTTCACCACTGACCCTCCGTTGTAAAAGATGCAACTTGCCATCCGAGTACAGCAGGGTGCTGGCGACCTCCTTCTTCCCAGCATTGTCCATGCCAACCGGTCCAACAGAAAACGAGCGGTTGTTGTCCGTCACCCAAAGGTGGAGCGCATTGGCCTTATTCTTCCCCGAGGAGTTCCCTCGCTGTGTGTACAGCATGACCCTCCTGCCCTCAATGGTCGCGGTGATGAGGGCATCCACATGCAAGCTCAGATCCCAAAAGTATGATTGTGAGTTGACCCACACGCCTGGAAGTGTCCCGACTGCCTCCGTCCACGCTGTCCCCATGTCACGCGTCTCGTACACCCTCTGTTCATCCTCGCAGTCAACAATCATGAGAAGTGAACCCTCCCACTCGGTGACGCGGGGGTTAACGCATTTCGCAGGGGAAGCGCCCTCAGAGAGCGACCAGGTACTGCCGTTGTCCGTCGAGTAAATGATCATGGAGTAAACGACACCATTTCCGCTCTTCGCCATCAGTGGAAACACAAGCGTGCCATCCTCCATCAGAACACCTGAGCCACCAGCGGCAAGAAACTCCTTCAATTTACCTTCGTGAGCAGCTATAGTACTCTCGTTTAACAGAGACCTGATTTGGTCCCATTTGATACGTTCAGTCAGCTCGCTGCTCGTAGGCTCCCTCACATCACCCACAACCAGTTTCAGACCCAGGTTGTCCCATTTCCTCCTCCCATCATTTTGTTTGAGCTCAGCAAGGCTTCCCGCAAGAAGAAACACCTTATTGCCCTTCGTGTTGGTTGTGGGGTGGTAAAAAACACCCACACGATTATCCGTTCCATCCGTTGGACCAAGCACAGTGTGTGCCTTCCATGTACTTTCACTCACCTTGCCAACAAGAGCGGACCAATCCCACGTAGCGTCGATGTACTCCGCAACAACATCAGAAGAAATGGGCTCAATTACTTTACCACCTTCAACGACATATTCGGCATACATGAGGCCTTCGGCAAAAGCAGCAATTACTCCACCAGCACTGACGAGAGAGGGTGAAGCAAATGCATCCCTCTTCGTCTCTTGAGACGTTCCGCCTTTCGGTACAACCAGCGTCTGATTCGGCAAAAATAGATCGACCGTATGAGGCAATTGCGCATTCCCCGAATTACTCTTCACGGCGTTCGAAGCCCCACCACTGCCGCACATCACGAGGAGGAGCAGCACCGCGGAAGTAAACACACGCCGGGACATGTTGGGCCTCTGCGGCTCACCCTCTCCTCCTTCCCTCCTCCTTCCGCTGGATCCGGTCACGCGGCGACGGTTGTGTGTGCGGGGTGCCTTCACAGCAGCAACACGTGAGAGCATATATATATGTGTGTGTGTGTGTGTGCTGTTGGTCCTTTCAGTGCCTTTGAATTTCACAGTTGCGATTAGCGCTTGGTCGTAACTTCCTTCCTAGCGTGTGTGTGTGCAAGAAATAGAAAGACAGCAACAGCGGCAATACACAAGAAAGGTCAGTGAGGAGCAGAGCAGAGCACCCACGCAGAGAGCGGGACAAAAGACAATCCGGAAGGGGCAGCACGGAGGACCATCGCCCACACCAGCCCTCTGACACACACAGACACCATCGCAGCGCTGTCAGTCCGCGGGTGAGAGGATTCGGCCCTCCACACAACAAACGCACACACCGCCAGCAATCAACCACCAATGGAAGGGGAAGAGAAGGGACACACCGCCACCGCCTCCAGTTCAATCCCACGGCCAACGGCATACGGCCACAGCCCCGCTGCCAACAAACACAACGCACACGGAGCAAGCAATCACCCAAAGAGCCACACGCAGAAGCAATTCCTCATCCATCCACGACGCGGCGCCTCACTCCATGCGGTCAAAACGCAGCGCCCCCACACCATCAGGAAGAGACACTCGCCCTGCGCGCTGCCTCTCTCCTCCCTTCGCTTCATGCCCACGGGTAAAAGCAGCACCCACACGCTGCTGCCACACGCACCGCGAAAGAACCATCCGAATCCACTGTGATTTGCACTCTGTGTGCGTGTGCTTGTGCGTGCCTGCAGAAACAAGAGGTAAAGAAGTAAAAAAAGAAACGGAGCATGTGAAGAAACGCAAAAACAAAATGCACAGCAGAGCCGCATGGTAGAAATAACATGACTGCTCAAACTCACGATTGCACCGCAGCCCAAGCAGTGGCGAGTCATACAAGATTTATTTAAAACAATTACCAAAAAAAAAAAGCCTCCCCTTTCACCATTATCTTTCCAGCCCGCACAAAGTAATTATATAAAAAGAAAAAAACGCAAGAAAGAAGTCGTCCTCCATTGCTCTTACTCCTAAAAAAAGGAAAAAAAAATCACCCGGTTACCGTGTGGCCCACCAAACTGTTTGTACATTTAGCCCACAAATTAAAAATCAAATAATTACTTCTCTTTCAACCGTCTGACCTCCATGTGACCGCACATCGTTTATATTTCATGGGGTCATCTGCGTGTTGCTGCTCCCCTCAGCCCTCTCATCGGCGCGTGAGTGCGGCCCGCAGAGCACAGTCACTCGTGTGTGTGTGGGGACTGAGAGAAGCACGCAGACACGACGGGAGTCGCGTCTCTCCATCGGGGGAGTGAGCGCAGAAAAAAAAAAAAACACATCAGGGGAGAGAAATGCTGACGGGACTGCCGACCCCGAAGGGTGCGCCAGCGCAAAAAAACACACACAGTGAGAAAGTCAAAGAGAGCAAGCAAAATTACTTTTTAAAGCGGCAGGGTGTGGCTGTGTGTGTGGCGCTGCGAGTGTCTGCCCGACCTCGCCGCAAAAAAAAAAAAAAAACAAGAGGGAAAGAAATGTGTGCTCCGCCCCACAGGCCCTCGTCGCACGCCCACACGCCACGGCTCCCTCAGCGCGCCGTTCGTCGCGGCCCCTCCTCATGCGTGCAGCAGGCGAGGCGCACAGGGCCGTCGTCATGAGCGTGTCGGTGGGTGTGCGAGTGGAGCAGTTGGGCGGAAACACACGGCACCCCTCGCAGGAAGAATGCAGCAAGAAATAATTAAAAGAGGGAAAAGTAGAAAAAAAACGTCCATAGTGATTGCCCCCAAAAGCAAAAGAATGAAAGTACTAAATGGAAAAAAAATTTGTTATTTGCAAGGTGAAATTTGTTCCTAGCGGTGTGTGTGTGTCGGCGGTGGGGAGGTCGCAAGTGCTCCACACTGAGGCCGCACACTCCTCACGCAGCCGCAAGCCCCACAGCCCCAGCAGAAGAAGCAGCGGAAGCAGCACCCTGCTCTCACGCATAGTGCCAGCAACGCTGTTATCCCACTGCGGCAAATTTTAAAGGCTGCTGCTGAGTGTCGCCGCCTCTGCTTCCTTGACCTGTGGATGGAGCCCTTCTTGTCCCTTGCCTTCAGCGTTATGTGTTGCTGCATTTGCTGCGTCGGGGGTGCCCACAGAGAATTGGGTTGGTTGATCTGCCTGCATCATATCTCCACTTTCCGTCCCCACCGTTTGTGCATCATCAGACGAGGAAGCACCAACATCAGTAATGGCGACGCTTGAAGATGTAACAGACGCCAGAGCTTCATGTTCATCGGAAGAAGTGGCAGATGCCGGCTGGTCTGCAGTTCCCTCCCTTGCTGAGGATGTCGCGGCATTGGGCTCCGCTGGTTTGGGCTCCGCTGGTTTGGGCTCCGCTGGTTTGGGCTCCGCTGGTTTGGGCTCCGCTGGTTTGGGCTCTGCTGGTTTGGGCTCCGCTGATTTGGGCTCCGCTGGTTTGGGCTCTGCTGGTTTGGGCTCCGCTGGTTTGGGCTCCGCTGGTTTGGGCTCCGCTGGTTTGGGCTCCGCTGGTTTGGGCTCCGCTGGTTTGGGCTCCGCTGGTTTGGGCTCCGCTGGTTTGGGCTCTGCTGGTTTGGGCTCCGCTGGTTTGGGCTCCGCTGGTTTGGGCTCCGCTGGTTTGGGCTCCGCTGGTTTGGGCTCTGCTGGTTTGGGCTCCGCTGATTTGGGCTCCGCTGGTTTGGGCTCTGCTGGTTTGGGCTCCGCTGGTTTGGGCTCCGCTGGTTTGGGCTCCGCTGGTTTGGGCTCCGCTGGTTTGGGCTCCGCTGATTTGGGCTCCGCTGGTTTGGGCTCCGCTGGTTTGGGCTCTGCTGGTTTGGGCTCCGCTGGTTTGGGCTCCGCTGGTTTGGGCTCCGCTGGTTTGGGCTCTGCTGGTTTGGGCTCCGCTGGTTTGGGCTCCGCTGATTTCGGCTCTGCTGGTTTGGGCTCCGCTGATTTCGGCTCCGCTGGTTTGGGCTCCGCTGGTTTGGGCTCTGCTGGTTTGGGCTCTGCTGGTTTGGGCTCCGCTGGTTTGGGCTCCGCTGGTTTGGGCTCTGCTGGTTTGGGCTCTGCTGGTTTGGGCTCCGCTGGTTTGGGCTCCGCTGGTTTGGGCTCTGCTGGTTTGGGCTCCGCTGGTTTGGGCTCTGCTGGTTTGGGCTCTGCTAGTTTGGGCTCCGCTGGTTTGGGCTCCGCTGATTTCGGCTCTGCTGATTTCGGCTCTGCTGGTTTGGGCTCCGCTGGTTTGGGCTCTGCTGGTTTGGGCTCTGCTGGTTTGGGCTCCGCTGGTTTGGGCTCTGCTGGTTTGGGCTCTGCTGGTTTGGGCTCTGCTGGTTTGGGCTCCGCTGGTTTGGGCTCCGCTGGTTTGGGCTCTGCTGGTTTGGGCTCCGCTGGTTTGGGCTCTGCTGGTTTGGGCTCTGCTGGTTTGGGCTCTGCTGGTTTGGGCTCTGCTGGTTTGGGCTCTGCTGGTTTGGGCTCCGCTGGTTTGGGCTCTGCTGGTTTGGGCTCTGCTGGTTTGGGCTCCGCTGGTTTGGGCTCTGCTGGTTTGGGCTCTGCTGGTTTGGGCTCTGCTGGTTTGGGCTCTGCTAGTTTGGGCTCCGCTGGTTTGGGCTCCGCTGATTTCGGCTCTGCTGATTTCGGCTCTGCTGGTTTGGGCTCCGCTGGTTTGGGCTCTGCTGGTTTGGGCTCTGCTGGTTTGGGCTCTGCTGGTTTGGGCTCTGCTAGTTTGGGCTCCGCTGGTTTGGGCTCCGCTGATTTCGGCTCTGCTGATTTCGGCTCTGCTGGTTTGGGCTCCGCTGGTTTGGGCTCTGCTGGTTTGGGCTCTGCTGGTTTGGGCTCCGCTGGTTTGGGCTCTGCTGGTTTGGGCTCTGCTGGTTTGGGCTCTGCTGGTTTGGGCTCCGCTGGTTTGGGCTCCGCTGGTTTGGGCTCTGCTGGTTTGGGCTCCGCTGGTTTGGGCTCTGCTGGTTTGGGCTCTGCTGGTTTGGGCTCTGCTGGTTTGGGCTCTGCTGGTTTGGGCTCTGCTGGTTTGGGCTCCGCTGGTTTGGGCTCTGCTGGTTTGGGCTCCGCTGGTTTGGGCTCCGCTGGTTTGGGCTCTGCTGGTTTGGGCTCCGCTGGTTTGGGCTCTGCTGGTTTGGGCTCTGCTAGTTTGGGCTCCGCTGGTTTGGGCTCCGCTGATTTCGGCTCTGCTGATTTCGGCTCTGCTGGTTTGGGCTCCGCTGGTTTGGGCTCTGCTGGTTTGGGCTCTGCTGGTTTGGGCTCCGCTGGTTTGGGCTCTGCTGGTTTGGGCTCTGCTGGTTTGGGCTCTGCTGGTTTGGGCTCCGCTGGTTTGGGCTCCGCTGGTTTGGGCTCTGCTGGTTTGGGCTCTGCTGGTTTGGGCTCTGCTGGTTTGGGCTCTGCTGGTTTGGGCTCTGCTGGTTTGGGCTCCGCTGGTTTGGGCTCCGCTGGTTTGGGCTCTGCTGGTTTGGGCTCCGCTGGTTTGGGCTCTGCTGGTTTGGGCTCCGCTGGTTTGGGCTCCGCTGGTTTGGGCTCCGCTGGTTTGGGCTCCGCTGGTTTGGGCTCTGCTGGTTTGGGCTCCGCTGGTTTGGGCTCCACTGGTTTGGGCTCTGCTGGTTTGGGCTCCGCTGGTTTGGGCTCCGCTGGTTTGGGCTCTGCTGGTTTGGGCTCCGCTGATTTGGGCTCCGCTGGTTTGGGCTCCGCTGGTTTGGGCTCTGCTGGTTTGGGCTCCGCTGGTTTGGGCTCCGCTGGTTTGGGCTCCGCTGGTTTGGGCTCTGCTGGTTTGGGCTCCGCTGGTTTGGGCTCCGCTGGTTTGGGCTCCGCTGGTTTGGGCTCCGCTGGTTTGGGCTCCGCTGGTTTGGGCTCCGCTGGTTTGGGCTCCGCTGGTTTGGGCTCTGCTGGTTTGGGCTCCGCTGGTTTGGGCTCCGCTGGTTTGGGCTCCGCTGGTTTGGGCTCCGCTGGTTTGGGCTCCGCTGGTTTGGGCTCCGCTGGTTTGGGCTCCGCTGGTTTGGGCTCCGCTGGTGTGGATGCAGCGCCACCACTCGGAACACTGCTCGTGTTCAAAGTTGTTTGGTCCGTCTGCTGTGGTCCGGCAGTAGCAGGCGGTGGCACAGTTGGCTGTGTATTTGTGTTCACCCTATCGTTGGCAGATTCAACGGACGGGGAAGTAGCTGCCGCCGCTTTCGCCGACTTCCTTTCCGGAGGTGGAATGGTGACTTTATTCGCGTTAAGGGCGCCAATCTCAGTTTCATTCAACGGGCGGTTGTACAGAAAGACGTTCGCCACCGTCGCATGGATTTTTCCGCTGCTCAACTGCTCATCGTACGCGCCAAAGTAAAAGTGTGAGACCGCGTCCAGCCCTTCATTGAACGAATTTCTCAGACTCATATTCCAAAGGGGAGTCCCGTCAACGTACACGGAGCCCACACCGTCATGCATTTTGAGCACCACGTGATACGTTTTGTCCAGCTCCCATGCGGTAAAATGCTTCGGGAACAACTCATGCTCCACGCTCCACTCCATATTATTATCGTACGACAGTCCCAGGAGTGTTGTCTTCCCCATTTTCTTCAGGCCCATCAGGGGAGTGATGCCCTTCGGCACCTCGTGAATCGACACCGTTGCCGCAAGAGTAAACCCATAGTTTGAAAAGTGGAGCGGTCTGTTCGGCCACTGCTTGTCCACGGGCCACTCGGCCCCTGCGTCATGCCCTTCGAACGTCAGCCCACTGGGAGCCTTTTTCGTCGCACCCCTCACAACGGCATTCACCCCAAGGTACTCGTCCTCCCACTTGTCCCCACGGAGCCTATCGGCCAAATGGCCCACAAGCCCAGTCGTGGGGATAGGAACAGAACAGTTCCCTCTTGACAGTGCGGCGCCTGAGGCAATTGAGCTGCATTGTCTCAAGGCATTGTCTTTCACGGCCCAAGTATCCAGCGCATGCCTTATCCAGTGCAGCTCGGAAGCCAGATCCAGGAAGAAGGCTCCGGAGCTGCTTCCAACACCGGCCTCGTACAAACAATACAGCTTATCATTCGCGTACAACAGAGAGCTGGAGGTCGCGCCATACCCAGTGGGTAACAGGCCAACGTGGTAAATGCGATTCGTGTCCGTTAGCCACAGGTGAATCTCGTTCTTTCCGTCGTGTCTGGAATATTCCAGCTGGGTGAGGAGAATCACCTTCTTTCCGCCAATAGTTGCAGTGATGAATCCACCCTGAATGTGGAGCCCAAGACCTGCCAATGAGTTGCTCCACACGCGCGAGAGCGTCCCCACAGCCTCCGTCCACGTGTTCCCCTTGTCAGTCGACTCGTACACCCTTCGGCGACCGTACTCACATGAGGTGATCATGATGATTTTCCCAGCCTCCCATTCAAGGATACTGGGGTTGGTGCAGCCTGCATGTGTCGCGCTGTTCGCAAAGGTCCAGTGCTGTTGACCGGGATTCATGTACATGATTGTGGACGCAGTGTTCCCTCCCATTGTCAGAAACTGCACGGGAAACACGAGCGTGCCATCCGTCATTTTCGTGATGGGAGTACTGGCATCGTTGAGGAAGCCAATCATGTCACCGGGTTGATAGGGATAAGGAAGGCGAATGCTCATAGAGACGGAATTCATCGAAAAACCTCCGCTTCGTCTAGGCCCCGTCTCCAGAAAATGAATAACAGACTCCACACCACTTCCTCCCCGCTCATCGGTAAACCGAATTCTGGCCCCTTTCCGTAAGTCGTAGCCCTCCACAAAAGCAAAAAGCGGTCCGAAGAGTCTGTAAGGCGTGGTAAACAACATCTGGTGAAGGTGTGCAGCAAAAACGTCAAGATCTTCTGGCCCCACGTACGGCCGCCACGTCCTCCCACCATCAACGCTGATCCGTGCCATCAACTGCATGGACGCACTCCCGCTCCCCACAGATCCATTGAACTGAGCTCCAACAATGGCCAGGAGCATCCCGTCCACATTCACAAGATGAGGATTGCGGAAAATGTGGCCAGCGGCCGCTGTGTTTGCGACTGGATACTCCCTTGGCGACTGCTCCAAACTGTGTCTTCCATAGGAATCGTCCACTCTCGTTCCATAGTTTTGGGTCCGCAAAGGCTCCGCGGCGGCGCACATCAACACGAAAAGGAGGAGCAGCACCGCGGAAGTAAACACACGCCGGGACATGTTGGGCCTCTGCGGCTCACCCTCTCCTCCTTCCCTCCTCCTTCCGCTGGATCCGGTCACGCGGCGACGGTTGTGTGTGCGGGGTGCCTTCACAGCAGCAACACGTGAGAGCATATATGTGTGTGTGGGCGCTGTGTGTGCTGTTGGTCCTTTCAGAGCCTTCGAATTTCACAGTGGCGATTCGCGCTTGTTTTCCTTCTTTCCTAGCGTGTATGTGTTCAAGAAGTGGTGAAGAAAACAACAGCGGCAATACACCAGACACGTCACTGGGAGCAGAGCAGAGCACCCACGCAGAAAGCGGGGCACGAGACAATCCGAATGGGCAGCACGGAGGAACATCGCCCACACCAGCCCTCACACACACACACAGACACAGACACCATCGCAGTGCCGTCAGTCCGCGGGAGAAAAGATTCGGCCCTCCACACAACAAACGCACACCGCCAACAGTCACCCAACATGGACGAGAAGAGACACACCGCCACCGCCTCCAGTTCAATCCCACGGCCAAAGGCATACGGCCACAGCCCGCAGCCAACACACAGCGCACACGGACCTAGCAATCACCCAAAGAGCCACACGCGGAAGCGGATCCTCACCCAGCCATGACGTGGCGACAAAATTTCCAGCCATCACACCCACAATGGGATTCGGTGCCCAACTCAAAGAAGTCACAGGCGGTGCAGCACGCCAACAGCAAAAGTGACTCGCGGTGCGCGCTCCCTCTCTCCTCCTTCCCTTCATGCCCACGGAAGAAGCAGCAGCCACCCGCAACCGCCAGCACACGCTACAAAAGAAGCATCCAAATCCACTGCAATGTGCATTTTTTGCGTGCATGTGGTTGTGTGTGCCTGCAGAAACACGAGGCAAAGAAGTAAAAACAGGAGCGGAGCATGTGAAGGGACGCACAAACAAAAATGTACAGCAGAAGTGCATGGCAGAAATAAAAAGAAAAAGACTGCTCAAGCTCATGACATTGCACCGCAGACAAAGCAGCGGCAATTCATAAAAAATTTTTATTAAAATTTTAAAAACATTCATCTTCACCCTTCCACCCCTCACACTTTGAAAAGAAAAAAAAAAAAAAAAAAAATTGAAAAAAGTCGTCCTCTACTACGGCTACACACAAATAATATAAAAGAAAAAAAGAAAATGAAAAGCCACACAAAAAAAAGATTTCACTGGTTACCGTGTGGCCCACCAAACTGTTTGTATATTTTGCCCACAAATTAAAAATTAAATAATTTCTGTCTTTCAACCGTCTGACCTCCATTTGTCCGCACATCGTTTATATTTCATGGGGTCATCTGCGTGTTGCTGCTCCCCTCAGCCCTCTCATCGGCGCGTGAGTGCGGCCCGCAGAGCACAGTCACTCGTGTGTGTGTGGGGGCTGAGAGAAGCACGCAGACACGACGGGAGTCGCGTCTCTCCATCGGGGGAGTGAGCGCAGCAAAAAAAAAGAAAAATAATCAGAGGGGAGAGAAATACTCACGAGGCCGACCCCGAAGGGCGCGCCAGCGCAAAAAAAAAAAAAAAGACACGCAAAACAAGAAAAAAAAGTCAAAGAGAGCAAGTAAAATTACTTTTTTTAAAGCGGCAGGGTGTGGCTGTGTGTGTGGCGCTGCGGGTATCTGCCCGCCCTGGCCGCAAGGAAAACAAAACAAGAGGGAAAGAAATGTGTGCTCCGCCCCACAGGCCCTCGTCGCACGCCCACACGTCACGGCTCCCTCAGCGCGCCGTTCGTCGCGGCCCCTCCTCATGCGTGCAGCAGGCGAGGCGCACAGGGCCGTCGTCATGAGCGTGTCGGTGGGTGTGCGAGTGGAGCAGTTGGGCGGGAAACACACGGCACCCCTCGCAGGAAGAGCGCAGCAAGAAATAATTAAAAGAGGGAAAAGTAGAAAAAAAACGTCCATAGTGATTGCCCCCAAAAGCAAAAAGAGAAGGGAAGAGTGGAGCAAAAAAGAAAAAACAGAAATAATTTTTTTTAAAAGCAAACAAAAATAATTAAAAACAAACATAAAAAAACATAAGAAATTATACTCCAAACAGAAAAGAAAAAAAATTTTAAGCCGAAAAAAAAAACGCCCATGGTGGTTGCCTTAGGGCAGCAAGGGAAAAATGTAAAACAAAGCAATAAAATAAAAAAAACAAATTATTCACTGTGTAGTAAAATTTTATTCCTAGCGGTGTGTGTGTCGGTGCAGGGAAGGGCGCAAGTGCTCCACACGGCAGCCGCACACTCCTCACGCAGCCGCAAACCCCCACAGCCCCAGCAGAAGCAGCAGCGGCAGCAGTCCGCTCTCACGCATAGTGCCAGCAACGCTGTTATCCCACTGCGACGAATTTAAAAGGCTGCTGCTGAGTGTCGCCGCCTCTGCTTCCTTGACCTGTGGATGGAGCCCTTCTTGTCCCTTGCCTTCAGCGTTATGTGTTGCTGCATTTGCTGCGTCGGGGGTGCCCACAGAGAATTGGGTTGGTTGATCTGCCTGCATCATATCTCCACCTTCCGTCCCCACCGTTTGTGCATCATCAGATGAGGAAGCACCGACATCAGTAATGGCGGCGCTTGAAGATGTAACAGATGTCACGGCTTCATGTCCATCGGAAGATGTGGCAGATGCCGGCTGGTCTGCAGTTCCCTCCCTTGCTGAGGATGTCGCGGCATTGGGCTCCGCTGGTTTGGGCTCTTCTGATTCCGACTCCGCTGGTTTGGGCTCTTCTGATTTCGGCTCCGCTGGTGTGGATGGAGCGCCACCACTCGGAACACTGCTCGTGTTCAAAGTTGCCTGGTCCGTCTGCTGTGGTCCGGCAGTAGCAGGCGGTGGCACAGTTGGCTGTGTATTTGTGTTCACCCTATCGTTGGCAGATTCAACGGACGGGGAAGTAGCAGCAGCCGCCGGCACCGGCTTCCTTTTCGGAGGTGGAATGGTGACTTTATTCGCGTTGAGGGCGCCAATCTCAGTTTCATTCAACGGGCGGTTGTACAGAAAGACGTTCGCCACCGTCGCATGGATTTTTCCGCTGCTCAACTGCTCATCGTACGCGCCAAAGTAAAAGTGTGAGACCGCGTCCAGCCCTTCATTGAACGAATTTCTCAGCCTCATATTCCAAAGGGGAGTCCCGTCAACGTACACGGAGCCCACACCGTCATGCATTTTGAGCACCACGTGATACGTTTTGTCCAGCTCCCATTTAGCAAAATAACTCTGGTACGACCCGTGCACCACGCTCCACTCCATATTATTATCGTACGACAGTCCCAGGAGTGTTGTCTTCCCCATTTTCTTCAGGCCCATCAGGGGAGTGATGCCCTTCGGCACCTCGTGAATCGACACCGTTGCCGCAAGAGTAAACCCATAGTTTGCAAAGTGGAACGGTCTGGTCGGCCACTGCTTGTCCACGGGCCACTCGGCCCCTGCGTCATGCCCTTCGAACGTCAGCCCATCGGGAGCCTTTTTCGCCGCACCCCTCACAACGGCATTCACCCCAAGGTACTCGTCCTCCCACTTGTCCCCACGGAGCCTATCGGCCAAATGGCCCACAAGCCCAGCCGTGGGGATAGGAACAGAACAGTTCCCTCTTGACAGCGCGGCGCCTGTGCTGCATCGTCTCAAGGCATTGTCCTTCGCGGCCCAAGTATCCAGCGCATGCCTTATCCAGTGCAGCTCGGAAGCCAGATCCAGGAAGAAGGCTCCGGAGCTGCTTCCAACACCGGCCTCGTACAAACAATACAGCTTATCATTCGCGTACAACAGAGAGCTGGAGGTCGCGCCATACCCAGTGGGTAACAGGCCAACGTGGTAAATGCGGTTCGTGTCCGTTAGCCACAGGTGAATCTCGCTCCTTTCTTTGTCCCCGAAATATTCCAGCTGGGTGAGGAGGATCACCTTCTTTCCATCAATTGTTGCAGTGATGAATCCACCCTGAATGTGGAGCCCAAGACCTGCCAATGAGTTGCTCCACACACGCGAGAGCGTCCCCAGAGCCTCCGTCCACGTGTTCCCCTTGTCAGTCGACTCGTACACCCTTCGGCGACCGTACTCACATGAGGTGATCATGATGATTTTCCCAGCCTCCCATTCAAGGATACTGGGGTTGGTGCAGCCCGCATGTGTCGCGCTTTTCGCAAAGGTCCAGTGCTGTTGACCGGGATTCATGTACATGATTGTGGACGCAGTGTCCCCTCCCATTGTCAGAAACTGCACGGGAAACACGAGCGTGCCATCCGTCATTTTCGTGATGGGAGTACTGGCATCGTTGAGGAAGCCAATCATGTCACCGGGTTGATAGGGATAAGGAAGGCGAATGCTCATAGAGACGGAATTCATCGAAAAACCTCCGCTTCGTCTAGGCCCCGTCTCCAGAAAATGGATAACAGACTCCACACCACTTCCTCCCCGCTCATCGGTAAACCGAATTCTGGCCCCTTTCCGTAAGTCGTAGCCCTCCACAAAAGCAAAAAGCGATCCGAAGAGTCTGTAAGGCGTGGTAAACAACATCTGGTGAAGGTGTGCAGCAAAAACGTCA